ATCATCCAACCTTCTGGCCAGCATCGCCGTTGTCGGCTTTGATGCGAATCTCCCTCATCTAGCTGCAGTCGATTGTGAAGGGCCGCAGTGTAGTCAGACGTGTTCCACGACTGCCGAGGACAACGATGAGCGCCGCTCAGCGCGCATACATAGCCAAGTCCGCTCCTCACCTCTTGGACGAAGTCACCCCAGAAACCACCTCGGGACGCCCGTCTTCCGCCACGCCGCAATCAGGCAGCGCTTCTCCTGCTGCATCAGTCTCTCCAGCGAGCTCTGGCAGAACAAGTCCGGCTTCAGATGCAGACGCGGATGGCCTGCCTCGCGAGAGCCTCGCGGCTGACACTTTCCCTCACGAAAGGCGCGCTTCGGGAACACCGGGAGGCACACCGAGCGGTCTGAGCGGAATTTCAGCCGCAAACAACTCCAGCTCTCACACTGTGCCGCCTGGATTCAGAGGACCTGTGCCCAAGGATGGAGATGCCGAAGAGATCATCCCGCATCCTCCACTCCTGCCCACCATCGGCAGCGCCACCCTTTTCAGCCCAACCAACACACCTCTGAATCGCAACGGCTGGCGCTACACACCCGCCGGGCCAGCTTCCTCCCTCTTGCCCCAGACCGTCTACCGCACTCTGGAACAAGAGCCTGCAGGGGTGCATTGGAGCTGGGCAGATCGTAGTGCCTTCACCAAGATGAGCGCCGACGCCGATGTGGTTTCTGCCGACAAGGGATTCAGATCTGCAAGGGCCAACGTTCCGGTCAGACATGGAGCATGGTATGTTGAGGTTCACATTCTAGAACCGGAGGTGCTTGTGCAAGGCGTGGGCGCCTTGGGCGCTCTTCCCGCTCCCTCGCGTGATGGACCTCACGTTCGCCTTGGTTGGGCTAGGCGCGAGGCACCATTGAATGCCCCAGCAGGGTTCGACGGCTACTCGTACGGCTACAGGTCCGCAACTGGCGAGAGAGTATGGCTTTCTCGGCCCGGCGCCTACGGCAAGCCTTTTGGGCCTGGCGATGTGGTTGGCCTCTGGATCCGTCTGCCAATGCCGGATCAGCACAACGAAGATCGACCTTCTCACGAGAAGCTGGGCGTCGAGACAGTCATCCGTCGGAAGCGGATTCCAATCCGGTACCGAGGTCAGGTGTACTTCGAACAGCTCGAATACGCTCCAACAAAGGAGATGGAGGCGCTTGCAGAGCAGAGCAAGAAGGGGCTGCATCGATGGAACGCCCCCTCCTCCACGGACGCACAAAGCGGAGCAGCGGGAACTGAGACCGCTGCACTTTCCAGCCATTCCACCGCGACAGCATCGCAGCCATCGTCAAGTCAGTCCGCAGCCGGTGGAGGTGGCAAAAAGCGCAGGAATTTGGCGCCTCGTCCAGAGGTCTCTGATGAGCCAAAAGGTAGACCCTTGGCAGATTTAGGACCTCATTCTCGCATCGGTTTCGTGCTCAATGGAGAACCACAAGGAATAGCTTTTGATCATCTCTTCGACTTTCGACCGCTGAAGCGCCCGACGACGATGGCCCAAGAGGCAGCAGCAAATGGGAAAAAGAAGACGAGTGGAGCGGCTTCAGGGGCGACAAAGCTCGGGCTAGCGGATGCAGAGGAAGGTCAAGCCATAATCACGAGCAGTAGCAGCGTAGCTAGCATAATGAAGAGCCGGGAAAATTACGCAGACGATGGCGCTTTGGGTTACTTTCCCTTTGTCTCGTGCTATGGTGGCGCAAGAGCGAAAATCGTTGCAGATCCTGATCATTGGGCATTCCCACCCTCCATCGACCTCGAAGCGCAATTGGAGATCGTGAGGCTTGGTCCCTTCGGATCAAGGGTCGCAAGTGTCGATCCCGGTGCAAAAGGCCCTAGTTCTGGTGGGCCTTGTTCTGGATCTTTGCCCTCTTGGCAGGGTCTTTCTGCTCGCTACGGCGAGTACATGGCCGAGCAGTGGGTGCTCGATCAATCTGATGAGGTGCGCGCAGCTTCAAAAGCCGACGGCGCCAAAGAGGCCGCGCTTCGAGCGGAGCTGGAAGAGGACGCCAGGGAGAAAGCGGCGAGGGCGCGCAAGAACAAGCGCAAGTTCCCAGGCGTGGCGGGGAGGGATAGGCACAAAAAGAAGAACCAATACACTTCTGGCAATCAAGGAAGGTCTGCCAGCGCACTCAGAAGAGCCTCATCGAGTCGCTTTGACACTGCGAGCCCTTCTACTACCCCTGCGCCGCTTACGGCAGGACACGATCAGACTCCGCCGCTGGATCAGTACAACGAGTCACAAACGCCGGTCGACGGCGAAGCAGAGGATGCTGCTAGCGGGAGCGAAAGCGTTAGTGGCCCGTACATACACGAGGGCGGGCCAGGCAATGAATAATGATACGTAGAATTTGCAATTTGTACCATACACTCTCGACAATTTCAGCCTTTTTCCAGGTCTTGATCATCTGCGCGTCTTGATTGCTCTATTGCACGCAGCGCCACTTCTTCCCCCCCCCCCCCCCCCCCCCCCCCCC